GTCCTGTACGACCAGCATGCTTTCATCTGGTCAACTGTCAGGGCAAATAGAACTTGTTTGTTTATATAAACATATATTCATTCATTTCAGTGCAGCAAACAAAGCAACAGTGTTGATCCTATTTTGAGGAGATTGCAAGTTTTTTTGCAAGAATTTTTCATAATGTTTCTGTTGGAAGGCCAACTGTAGTTTCCTTCCTGGCACTGTCAGACCTTTGGGACCTGGAAGCGTGGCCTTGTTCCTGATCTTCTAGGATGGTGTTTTTTTTTCTCTCTTTTTTTCACGGTGAAGGAAGGAGTGTGACTCTGTTTTACAGTGTAAGGGCAGCTGCATCAGCGTTAACTGCAGGCTACATTTCTTTGCTTGTTTACCTAAGGAGCACTGTGTCTGTGGTTATAAGCCAGTCTATTTACCTGTTACCTGTAGCAGTAAAAGAAACTACAGACTACAGTATATATTTGCATATGCAGCATATTAAATCTGTTCTCTTGTAATAAGTCAGGCCTCTGGCTTTGATAGCTCTTTAGAGGGCAGTTGTATTTCACTTAATGTCCTCTTGAAAAATGCTAATGTATAATGAGATCATGTTTTGCTTTCTAGTCCCACCCAGATGAAAGCCTGTTATTCTGTTCATTACACCCCACTCCCCAACTCACACCTTCATGTTTTCATGTAGTACAGTCTGGCTGAACAAAACTCACATTATATCTTACCTAAACAGTTATTCATTTTGTTTTTACATTGTTTGAGTCCTCATCTATCAGGGAAAAGGCTTCAGGAGACTATGGAAGTACTTAGGAATTTGAGGCAGAAGAGTAAGGTGCTATAGTGGACCTCACAACTGCAAACAGACGCTTGCACAACTGTCATATCGAGTTCTTATTCAAAAATAGAAACCCGTAACAACTACCAGTGTATCATGACAGCTCTAATTATGCAATGAATTGCTTTTCCATTTCACTTACATACTGTGTTCTCTTTCTATGAGGTATGATCACAAATAATATCAAATTACGATATGCTTTTCATGCTTGGCTGCAATTTCTGTGGGTCAGTCGATGGAGTTCAGAATGATTGTGCAAGCCCATCTCACAGTTGTGGTAGTTTAAAATGTATTATTTAATACTCACTCTGTCATATCATCCATCTTGTGCCTGTCCTTTTGTTCATTTGCCCACAATTTGAATGCTTTTGAAGACCTATTTCTTTTTTAAACTATCAAACTATATCAGTATATAATCTTACCAGAACATTTTAATGAGCATGACTCTTCAAGGTTACCTTGGCCGTTTCATTGCAAAATTTGGATTTAAATTGCAGTGCATCTTTTCTTTGTTCAGTGCTAAATAGTTCTAAGTGAAAAAGAATAAGACACAGCCTTGTTAATGGTGCAGTTCACTCTTTTAAGTGGACATTTTTGGCCTTAAATGATTTTTGAGTTTTGAGATTTTACACAGTTTTGATATGGGGTCGAGTAAGGTTGGGAAAATGCAATGAAAATGCAATGTTTATGCACTTCTATGTAATTTTCCTGGAATATTGATCTGTCTGCAATAAGGCTGTGAATTTTGACAAATTCTTTTGACCGGTAACTGTTAACATTATTAGTCTGTGATTAATTGTTATCTGACAAACCTAAAATCACGGACATGACCAATGGAAACATCAGACACAGCACTGCATTTATATAAACAAGGCTTCAGGCTTTATTGAATGAAAAAATACATCTCACATAACAGATATGACAGTAACGTAATGTAGTCTGCTTACTTACATTTGCCACATATTATTAGCCCAAGTTAACGAAGATATGGCCTGACCAGGACTAGCTTGAAGTTCAAATGCATAGTTTAAACAACAATCAACATAGTGGGTCACAACTTTTAAGCTTTTTTTTGTCATGGGCTTTACTACATAGGATAACCATTGTCTAACAAATAATTGTAGGCTAAAGCTTAAGGCTGCACTGAGCAGAGGCAACATGACATTTAAAAAGTGTCAGTTGTTGCCTATTTTAGCACTGTATCATGTGGCTAAATAACCTAGTTGTGATAATGCTGTAAACTCCATTTATGATGGTTTAATCTCTGCTCTATCCTTTTCTGAAAGGCTCTGGCGCAGTCAACCTCAGATAACCCGGAGTTGTGCATTGCTAAGTAGAGCTGTCTGAACAAGTTGTGATCCTCATACAATTCAAAAACGTTGAATGAAAAATCTGCCTATTCAAATATCAGTTGTTTATTGGAAATGAACTTTTTAACTGAAAGCATTTATGTTTTTGTCTGTAAATGGTCAATCAGTTAATTATTAACATCCCAAGTCTGCAGTAAACTCTGAAATAATAAAGAAAGCTATATTTCATAAACGCAACTAAAATTATGAACCAGAAGAGTTTTTGGATTGGTTTGTGCTTAATTGAGTAATTAAAGATTTTTCTAACAATAAAAATGGATTGAACCGAACAATAACAAGCCATGTGCAGCTTTTTGAAGATATACTGTATAAGCAGAACGCTTTATTGGGAATAAGAGATGTCTTTAAAAAGACTTAATTAAAACAAGTCAGTAAATTAGTGTCCACCAGGTTCCTTACTGTAAAAGAGGCCAGTAGGAGAATTCTGTATTATCACCATACAACTTGCAAAAGAAGCATTACAGATTTATTTCAGCATTGCAGATTCACTTTTAATTAAGTTTACAACTCAGTTACTGTTCATCAGTTAACTGATTAACGATGAATCGATTAATAGTAATTTACTAAGTTGTCTGCGAAGCACTTTCTGGACCTCTCTAGTTTAAAGTGCTTTGCAGCAATCATATTTTTTCATTAATGCCATTGTCCACCTTACCCTGGCACCATTATCACCAGCGGCTGCCGTTTGCAAGTAAATTTTCGCAGTTCGAATGTCTCGAGCTCCTTCTCACTGCGGATTATTTTCCTCCAACTCTCTTGGGCCTGTGAATGACTGACAAAGAGAGTGTCGTCCTGTTACGTAACTGACCAGATCCCGCTCTCGTTTGCTTCACCTGGGTTAATGGCAGCTGCTGACAACCATCTGCTCCTCCCTCTCCCCCCCCACCCCCTTCTCCAGAGCCAAGGAGGTGAGTGCTGGCCGCTCGGCCCACAGGCTGTAATTAGCCATGTCGGTCTGGGGCCTGATTAATCCTACAGTAGTGCTGGCTCAGAGCCAGGACTTCTTCTGCAGCCATTGGCACACAGAGACTGCGATAAGCCCACTCTCTGCTTTCTCTTTATCAGGAGCAAGAGGGAAGAAATATATACAAATATTTAATTTGATTTGTATCTGAAAAGCAGGAGCAGAACACTGAAGAACGCTTATGTTATTCTTTGTGTTTGTAGTGATCACTTACTCTGAGGAGGATGAAAAAGTGTCATTTTTTCAGAGATGGACAATATAGACTTGACATTTGAGATTTTTTTTACTTGTCTCAAATATTTAATGCAGTCATATGCAAATATTTGAACACCTCCAGTCAAATTACATGTTTTGATGATTTTCTAAGCGAAAAAGTCTTAAACATGTAACTTTCCTGCAAATCAGCAAAATCAACAAAACATGTTTTTATCAGGGAGCGCCCAAATTTTGCATACAACAGTATATGAAATAATAGGGGTTGATAACAGTACAATACTTTTCTGAGTATATTATTGCTTTCACCAAAATACATATACTTTTGTGATACTGAATAACTTCATGCATAGCAAAACAACAGATTTAAAGTCTGTCAGGTAAACACTGCCTGTAACAGTAACCAATGTATTTATCTGCGCAAAACTACATAATAAGTACCTGATTGAATGTCAGCCTTGTTTATTTTATTAATTTACTTTTACTGATTGTTTGAATTTTCCTTTCCTTTTTTTTTCTTCTTGCTGTTCAGTTCAGATGCACTGGCACTTCACAGGACTCAGAGGAAGCTTGCCTTTGCCTCGCCCTCCTAGAGCTGGTGGTATTGTGTGATTGGGGGAGTCAACTAGTGGGTGGAATTAAATATGACTAAATTGAGGAGGAAAAAAAAACAGTGATATGATAGATGCACTTGTGTCTGGTTGAAAACTGCAACGTCAGAAAACGTAGCCTGCAGGAAAATGTGTAGGTTCTTTGTGTGAACATGTAAGAGTGGTCAGTCCAGTTCTGCCAGTTGCACGTTCAGCATTTCTTTTGTAGATAAATGTAAGTCAGTCAGCTGTATGTGGCAGAAACTCATTATATTTCTGTTTTCAGTAAGTCTTGGCTCCTTATTCTTAGACATGTTCCTCTTATTTGACTAACATCCAAAACGTGTGCAGTTCTAAAATGTACTGATAAGATGCATGCACCTCCTAGGGTGTATCACGGTTTGCTGTTAACCAGTGCCATTTGAAGGTCAGTACAGTTCTCTGACCAACGGTTGGTGGCTGTTTGGCCAGGGTGTTGAGACAGCGGCCACTGAGTTCACTAGTACACTGTTTGCTCGGCACCTTGGAGAACCTAGCAACAGTATCTTGACTGTATAAGTAATATCATTGAATCAGACCTACAGTGTATAATCTGCAGATATAAGGATGGGTTTAGCTCTCTTACATGGTCCAACTTTTCACCATCCATTTGAATTACATGCGAACATGTGCTTGAATGACCTGGCTAATTGTGTGATCACAGTGCCATGATAATGGCTTCGTCTGACCGCTTTGCCCATGGAGGTTCACAGATGGCTGGCATATGCTGCTACAATCCACTCTGTGTCCGTGCCATACGTACACCACTAGTAATATTTAGCAAACCATTTCTTTGGACACAGAGTAAAGTAAATCAGTAATTCATTTTGGTCTGAGGTCTAATCTTTAGTATGTGTAGTCTTTATATGTTAATATATATACCTTTGTTACCTTCTATTAGTCCCCAATAACGAAGTGACAGTAAACACAGTAGACTCAGCTTTTAAATCTAAATCTCTCCACTAAAAACTGTCCATCATCTCTTTTGTTCACCTCCACAGATCTTTCTGCTGGCCTGTCCGCCTGGTAAAACAGCTATGGTCATCTTTAGGTAAGTATTAATTATTTTAACCTTTCCGTTTACCTGATTTAAATAGGTAAAGTTGTAAGAATTATGTAAAGGTGATATCTGGGTCCACACTTGAAGTGTACAAATCTAGAGTTAATGCAGCCAAGCCTGGTTCAACATATTGTACAAAACCAGTGACTGTAGCAATAAACAGTATATTGTCACCCTTCTAAAAAAAACACAACGATTGAGTTACAAATGAATTAACGTAATAATGCTGATGATGCTTCAAACGTCATTGCCACCATGTTAGGGAAGAGAACTTACAGAAAACTAGAGGACTATTTTAGTTTTAAACAACTTGCTAAATAATATTAAATGTGAAAAGTTGTACCATGGAATTGTACAAAAGGATCCGCTATAGTGATGGAAACCATTTTTTTTAACATGATAAGCAAGTGGACGTGGCTTTGGGACTCCCGTCTAGCAGTCTGAAGTTTATCCAGCAGGGGGTGCTATTAGTGCACAAGTCTTTTTAATGTTTGTCACTTAGAGATGAAATAGCCACTCACTTGCTCTGCTGGAAAGCACTAACAGAGCAAACGCAAAAGGATTCATTTTAATTTAACCAAACCTGACAAATCTGAATGCACCCTAAGTACTCCTAATTAATCTCTCTTGCACTTTCTGAAAACAAATGTAAACAGAGAATGAAACTTTAATATATAATGTTAATGGTGTATTCAGTGCAATTTTTTGAAAAATAAATCTGTGCAGTGATACTACTCCAGCCTACATGCCTTTGATGACGCCGCACAACCTGGAAGCTTTAAATTAATTAGAGGTGTTACGCTCTAAATACATTTTTAAGGTGTGAAAACCTAGTCAAAAAGTAATCACTGCATCATGGTGTTGAGCAACAATTTAAAACTCACAAGAAGGTGGTTAAAATTAGAGGAAAGAGTATTATGAAATATGAACATGACTATAGCACTTGAATTTAAGGTAACATTGTTACTGTGGTATTATCTGTAAAATTAGTTTTGGACAATTTCTTTATCCTCTGTTTTATTTATTTTTGGTGCAGAGAGGTCCCTTACCATTCAACTTGTTACTATAAATAGTAGCCCCAGTTATGTAATTTCTGTGATATTTTTAGATCGCTGCGTGGTTTAAAGCGGTGGTTCTCATAGGGTTAACTGTGGGGAATTGTGGATGGTTGCTGAAAAAAATATACATGCACCTAATTTGATGATGTTTTTGAGAATGACTTTTCCATAAAATATCCCAGCCCAGTGGTATCCTGTGCTGGCCCTAACCTGCTTTAGTAAGTACTTAAAATAAATTGGCAATGAAACAATCATCACTATTAATTAGTGGGTGAAGACTGGATTAATGGTAAAAGTGAAAAGTGCAGCTGGAGCACCCCAAGGTAGAGAACTGATGGGTGGAGCCAGAAGTCAGACCTCCAATAAGACTGGCTTGATAGAGCCCTGTGGCGCCATATAAACAGATTAGGGGTTAAATCTCCTTAAATTGAAGCCCACTCACATGTAGGTCAGGAAAGGAGCGAGTGGTAATGGATAGCCTGAAATATCTCCATGCTATTTACACAAATGCACTTTCAGTGTTCTTGTCAGGTCTAGTTTATAAGCAGTAATGCAGTGGAACTGGCTTACCATGAGCCTGGAGCAGAGATGAGCCTGGTTTGATAGTAATGGAGAGTTGGGAGTGTGACGGAACTGGCACAAGTACAAATATAAACTCGCAGGAAGTGAAGAAAGCATAACACACACAACACTCTTCGCTTAGGAACATCACTAGTGTCATCTGAGTACAAATAGGAGAATGATGGTCGTTTATGATGACACCCTCTCACTCTCCCACTCTCGTTTGTTTGGAGCTGGTTAATTATAAAAGAGAAAATGAAATATCAGCTGCCACATCCGTCCTCAGGACTGGTATCAGTAACTGTTTTTGAGTTTTGAGAGCATTTCAATGTAGGACAGCTCAAGCAAGGTAGTAATGTCACAATTGCAAGAAGACCAGTGTCACAAAAAAATACCAAAATCTGTAGCCGTGTCTCAAAAGCGAGGATGTGCCCGAGTAGGTTTGCATTTCTCGGCTGTTACTTCACTCAAGGCTGACCAATTTGGTAGGATTCATTGAATGCAGCTGAGAAATGCATCCTTTATTTCTGTGAAATCTCAGAAATCAAGACTTAACTGGTGTATCCGTTGAAGCTCTCATTCAAAAGCGTATGAAAACGCAGAGAACAGCTTGGAGTGGCTATGGCACCAGAGTTTGTAATGGAATGTAAAATTGAATTTCATGTTTTTAAACATAATAGGGGCTGTTCAGCCAATCTTAATAGAGGTCTGACTTCTCTGCCTCGGGGTGCTTTGACCAGACTTTTCACTTTTACCATTAATCCAGCTTTCACTCACTGGTTATGACGTGGTGGAACAGCCTGCTCAGATCAGCCTGAATGTGCGTGAGTGAACACTGAACAGGAGCCGCCATACCAGAGCTAGCAAATTCTCCCCTACTTCGACTGTAGCCTTTGCTTTGAGACACGACTTATAAATGCAGTGATTTGTTCAAAGTTTCACATACTGCGCTGCACACAGTCCACCTAAACCTAATTATTTGATATTTGATGCTAATACCAAACTATATAATTATAATAAGCTATCCAGTAGGAATTAACGTTTTAATATTCTCGTTTTGAGAGGGTCATTAAGAATGTGTGTCTCTCTCTTTGATCGAGAGAGAGTAATAATGAAGAAAAAAAGAAGAATCAACCAGAGAATAATTATGATCAGAAAATTGTACCATTGTTTATTGCTGCTATAAAATCTAGAATTGTATTTGGATTTTGAAAGGAATGGATGGTGTAGAAGTGTTTCAGTTAGAATGGTGCTACAAAGATATTTCTTGCACTTTGGTCTTGGTGTGGACATTACTGAGGATAAAAACACACAACAGGGGAAATGTCATGCTGCTCATCCAAAGTTTATAGTAGTTGTTCTTAGGTGTGGACGGTGTGACGCAATTTATTGTGTTTGAGATTACTTATGTCACTATATATATATATATATATATATATTGTGACATATATATATAGTATGTCATTGTAGTTAGTATGTAAGGAATACTGACCAACTTCATGTTTCATTACAAAGAGGCCCTATTTAGGCCTGTTTAACCAGATTGAATGCAGTGCAGTATGTGAAGCAAAAAATCACTGTATTTATAGTTTTGATTAGTTTTTTTTTAAATGTGGTACCACTGGTACTTTTTTCTTTGTTCTAACTTATCTTCAGGAAAAACTAAATATTGTATCAACTAAATATGCTAAAACTAAACATGACTAAATGTCTTAAAGTACTTTTTCCTAAAGTAATTTTAGTTGTTACTTTGATTGAACAAAAATCTTTGATAAAAATCAAAAATATCTCTGTCCTCTCTCTTTCCTCTTCTCTGTCTCTCTCCTGAGTACTAGATGGTTTAACATAATTACTTTTATCAGTACTCCAAGTTTAATTACACTCAAATCTATTATTAAGGTGCACAATAAATAATGACAGCTGTGACATACATGCAGAATGTCACACATTATAAAGTCATGGTGTTGTGCACAGCCTCTGGCATTTTCTAATAAACATTGTGTCATCTATGCAATATGTATAGCTAAGGTCCCAGTGGAGAAATCAGGGTTGGTAGCTCCTTGTTAATTTTCCTTTGCTGCGTTTGGCCTCCCTGAGGCGAGGAGCACAGCAGCGAGAAATTCCTCGTGGGAGGTCAATCTGTATTGAGAAAGAGGACATGCTGCGCAGAATCACGCTCTCTGGAGCTTCAGCAACTCCCATGGCGGCGTCAGTTTCGTGCTCAACACAGCAGTGTCCAAAACTGAGAGCAAGACTGGGATCAGCTGTGTAGCGCGGCTTCATGTAATTAAAAACAGAACCCAACAAGACGCTGATCCGAGGTCAGGGCCAAAGCAAAGTCTCCCTGGAGACAGTACTGTCACTAGAGGAGAAAAAATAGCAATGACTGGCCGAATGGCAGCCAGAATTCGTGGATGAATTACACTGAGCAGCTATTTTATTTAGAACAGGGGTTTAAAAATGCTGTGCTGTGATGCATCAGTCTGAAGGCATTGATGCAGCTATGCCAGTTTTGAAATACTACAATAATATTAATTTCAGAGAGTGTGCGCTCAGGCCTGGTGACAGCTAACGGAGTTACTGCAGTAACAGCTCCCTGTGACAGTAAAAGTTAATTTACTGTCAGTTTCATGTAAGACTGCAACAAATATTCAATATTATTCAATAAATGTCTTTTAAAATTAACATTAAAGCTAGAAACATTTACTACTTTCATGAACCCCTTGTTTGTTTATCTAGCCAAATAATAGCTTGCCTTAAGTTACCAAACTCTGCACACCAGACTCATCGGAGATTATGATTGCGCAGAGCTTGCAAGACTCTCACAATTCAAGGTGACAGGATCATTATAAACTCCAGGTACAGTCAAAATAAATTTCCTACTGCTCCAGACTGCTAGCTAGCATGTTCTCCGTTGTATATATGACCGAGAGTACTACAAACCATAGCAAGACACGACTATTCCCACATATGAACATTCTGAACTTTTAAAGATGTGGGGTGATGATATTCTACATCAAATGTTCCTAGACTAGATGAGATTGTTCTAGAAATGTGGCTTTTGAGCTGCACCACGCTTGAGGGGAGGCTGTGGGGGCAGGGCACTGTGAGCTGTTGTAGCAGGCATATCCTGCCTGGACAAAAAGCTGCCTATGGTATGGTGTACATTTTAGGATCTTCTCAGACGACCTACTTTTCCGATCTACTTTCAGACATCAGGCAAAACAGCTTCAGGTCTCGGTAAGAACACTGTAACGTCTCAGCTGTCATACAGTTTGATATCAGGCAAACAGCCTCATATATACGGCCTTAGATGCTAAAGCTCGTGTTCTTTCTTTCATTAGTTACAGTTTTGCAGCCAAATTAAAGATGACAGTATACAATAATAACTTGTTCTGAGCTGTTCTACAGGGTTACCTGCACTGGGCTTCATGCGCTCATATTTTGTCCTCGGACAATTTTCTGATTACATACAAAATGTTCGCTTAAAGAAACTGTTGCAAAGTCAAATATTTACACCTTGGTGGTAAAACGACAGAGCTGTTCACATCAGATCTTGTTACAGTCCTGTGTGTTCTGCTGCTTGTTCGTGTGGAAAAAAACACTGCAGCAGAGTAATCTGAGCTGTTCCCTTCTCTGGTGGCTAGTCGGACAGAAAAAAAGGGACTTTTAACCGTATCTCCGAATTTAAAGCTGGTGTTCTGCATTTCACAAGAAAGCTAATTTAAATTTTTTAAGAGTCTTAGCACTACTTGGAAAGTACTTATGTTGTTTTTGTTACATTTTTTCCCTCTTGTTTCTGGTTGTTTCACGTTTGTGAAATGTGATCCAGCTCTGAGAATCGACGCTGACAGCAATGGAATGTTCTTTGCAAGTCAAATTGGAATGAAAAGTTAATTTTTGTGTTCAGCCATTGTGTAACATTTGAACTTCTGCCAGATTACCAAAAGGCTTGTTCCTCTGCATGTGAATCAGTGGCTTATTTAGTGGGTGCCCCCAGCCGACAGTGCTTTCAGTTAGGCTCAGTGAGGAGGCCGTGAGCACCATAATGGCGCAGTTGCCAAAGGATACAGAGGTATTCATCCCTCTGCCTGTTTTTAACTTCCATTCAGAGAGGTGGGACTGGACCCGGACCAGAGCATCGCCAAATGCCTGAGCTGAATGCCAATTATGTTCCTCTGTTTCCCTGCTGTAGGCTCTCAGAAAGCTGCTGAATCTAAATCTACAAGGACAAACTGTTGATTCCACCATGAGTTAATCCAGTCCCATAAAGGAATGCTTTGTGTCATGAGCTATGTGATTTCTAAGCACTTGTCCATATGAAGAGGCCTAGCCATGACAAAATGAAATGTTTCAGGCTTAAGCTAAACATTACAGATTATTTCTGTAACAAAAAGCTACCATAAGCCTGCATTACAGTGCAGTGCAGTGCATTCTGGACCTGTACAGTTTTATGTAATTGGTAAAAAGTTTATGTAATTTAAAGCAGTAAAGCAGTAGAAGTTCTAAAAATATAAATCAGTATCAAACAGAGAAACCAGATCAACCCTGCTCATTCAATGGTTTCTGAAAAGTTTTTCTAAAGTGGCTGAGTAAGATCTCAGTCACAATTTGTAATTTATTGTTTGAAAAATATTTGAGAAATACCCAGCCTGGGTGTTTTTGTTTGTGTACCTTACTTTTAATCAATCGTTTGGAAGACCTCTCACAAAACACTAAATGATGCTACCCACACACAAAGCCTGAAGATGATACACAGTGTCAAAAAAAACATTGTGGCTTGTAATTTTACACAGAGTAAGGCAGTCAGTCTGAAGTTGGACAGTGCTGATCTTCTGTTACCTTAGTTAACAGCCAAGTCACATTAAGCTTATTTCACCTTGTACCTTTTAGCTCAAAAAATAGATTTTGTCAAGAGTTAGTTGGTACCAGATGTGAGAAATTAAGCTGTTCCATTAAATTTGTGGGGGTATAGTGCAAAAGGAGGTCAAGGAAGATATTTATCAATACAGAAATACTGTGTCTTGTAAAATAGGTATTTAACCCAAAAAGCAGCAGCAAAATCTGCCAGCAAGAATGAGTACAAATCTCTCCCAAACAGTGTGCACAGCTAGTAGAAACTTACCCTAGCAGTCTTAAAGCTGTTCAAATTTCAAATTTCAACTTCAAATTTTGTTCTTTGAAGATCTGCTGACAAATATTGAAATTTGACTTTGAAAATTGACTTTAAGAAGATACTGGTTTGCAATAAAAATAGTGTCTGTAACAATAAGTCTAAGTGTCATTTGTGATCCAGACAAATTCAGTGACTCTTAAGGAGGTTGAAATATTTTGCAAAGCAGTGTATATTAGCACTTCTTATGTAGCGTAGATGCGCTATTGCACGGTGCTTCGGGTCCAATATGCATTAACATTTTAGATGGCCTTTGATGTTAAACTGAGCTACATTTCCCAAAAGCATCTTGGCACAAAGATGATTTTTAAATGGCAGAGCCAGCGTCACACAGGGCAGCGTCACACAGGACAGCACTCTCTATACCAGTTAAACTGATCTTGGCACAAAGAAAACTTTGGAAAACTGGGCCCAGATTAGAACCCTTAACCAAACCAGAAGACCCAAACTCTACACTGGTGGAGGATGGAGTTCAGGCATTTTTTTTTTATATTTACATGACATGCAAATTTTTTGATGCAAAAAAATACAAATTCTTATCTCTAATACATAGTTTGGTTATATGAGTATTTGCATGATGTTAGTACATGAATCAAAGAGGACACGTTCAGAACACTTACTATCAAGATGTGAAGTATGTGTTATAACAATAGTGGAAAACATTGTAAACAAGATGTTGCTGCCTTGTCACATTGCTCCTTCAAATCTGCAGTAAAATTAGGATGGGTTCTGCTGATGTTGTGTACCCTTATTACCCGTGTTGACTGCTGTCAAAAAATGAATGTGTGAAATATTAACTCTGGCTAATTATGGACCTCAACTGCAGTAATTACAGCTGTCTACTTTCAGTCATAATTACGTAACCTGTGTTCTTTCTTGCAGGCTTCAGGTCCACATGCTGAATGGTGCCCTATTAGCCCTTCTTTTCCCAGTTGTCAACACAAGACTAGTAAGTGCTGTATATTTACTATCATGTATTTGTGTGTGAGAGAAACAAACCCAACCTCCCAGTTTTTAAAGGAACAATTTGAAGAAAAATCAAATTTACACATTTTTACGCTTAGCCTTGATGTAGTCACTCAGCCAAGACATGTTCGGGGTCCAAATTTTGCTTTGTTGTGTGTACGTGTTGGCATTAAAAAAAAAAAGACATCCTCCTGTGCCTCATATTGGTATGTGACGAGCAGCGGCATGTAGCCACGCTAATGGTACCTGTTGACTATCAGAGAAGAGATTTGAGTAGTGCACATTGTTGTTTAAAGTGTGAAAAGCACGCTTGAATTTTTTGTTTTCTGATACTGAGCGTTCCTGAACTTCGGCAGTGAGACATTCTGCATCCATAGCTCCCAAAAAAATTCTAAATCATATTCCACCGCCATGGTCGATTACAAAAGTAGGGAAAATTGAGCTGTTTGTGGGATGTTTCGGGCTTAGCCAAGCGGGTGTTTTAGGAGCTATTAAAACTATTCTTATACATTTCTAGGATTATGTATGTATGTATGTATATAGTAAATGTATTGTGCAAAAGTAATAATGTTGTCTTGGAGACATAAGCAATGTAAGTAATTGTAAGATGTAAGATTTCATGATTACAAGAATTTATACTGTAATGTGTTACAATCTTTTGTAATTGGAACCATCTTACTTACTTTGTACCATGTTACCCCCAACACTCGTGATTTTATGTGTGTTAACTTAAGTCTATGCAAAGCTCTTCTCGAGGAAACCCAGTAGTTTCTGATACTATCCAGTATGTAGTTTAAATAATTAGTTCATCATCAAATTAAATCAGGTGTTGCTGATAGAATATAACAAATCCATGCCCTGACTGCAGTGAGAAGTCAGGCACCAAACCCATGTTCTGACTTTATTCTTCTAACCAACAAATATAATTCCCTTTTTAAAAACAGTGAATTCTTGTCATGTGGTGTTTTTATTCTGGCAAAAACAGACACAGAGCCCCCATTGCACATGTTTTGTGTGAATCGTGTCTGGATACACGCCGGCCGGATTCCATTTACACTTTTCACCAAAATGAATCTCCAGTTTGTCCAGATGAATTCTGATCCTTTAGTTGTATAAAAAGCACATCAGCACATGTTGTTTCTGCCTTACTTTTGTTTGTATCATTCCGACACAAGTTCACAAGCTTTATTTTCCCGCTTTAATTGGTTCAGAGTGCAAGAAGGCTAATTTTAGCTTCACGTATCTTCCATCTTTCATTTTCTTGTTTATCTTCTCACTTGTTAAGGAGCGCTCAGCAAATGCATATCCGCTCATGGAATTGCATACATGCCTTCCGTGTTAGATGCGGTCAAGATCCGTCTCTGACCACCTGAGAATACCACCTCTGGATAAATCTTTTAAAAGCGTTTTTAAAAAGGGATTTAGAGCTGTTGTCCCCAATTCGCACCTTCAGTTCAGCATGTTGCTGTTTACCTAAGCATAAACTGTACACTCTGAACAGTTCATTGCATATTACTGGTGGCCACGGCTCAACCAGGCCTTTCATGAAGGATTCCAGGAGGGGTCATTAAGGTTTCTGTGAGGCGCCACTGCTTGGGGTTTAGAGCTCACTAATGGCTCCCACACAAACCTGTGTGCACTACAAACAAGCACTACATATCGGCTCATTCAAGAAGCCAGTAACCATTTATTGACGGAGGCTAAGCACAAATATTTACTAGAAAACACTTGTGACCTGAAACATGCTCCCCTCCCCTCTCCCTGCCGCCAGAATGCAAATGTCAATTGTGTTTGTTCGTGTTTGTGATAACAGGTGAAATGAAACTTGTCATCCTATGTATCCCTTAAAAACCTCACTTATAGCATGTACATGTTGTACGTTTTAATGATTGCTATGCAGTATGTTGCATGGTTGTATAACAGCTTCTGTCATCATGCCAAAAAATAGACTGCCAGTTGCAGTGCTTCCTTATCGAGGATTTAATGTGAGTCTTGGAGGGAATATGCATCAAAGGAACACTTCCTTGCCTGTTGCCATGGTCACTTCCACCAAGGTCCTGGTTGAGGCAAGCTGTTGTCAGGCCTTTGCTATTGAAATTTATTGAATGTAGCATTCGAAACCAAGGTTTCCTAAAAATTGTCCTTGGTGAACTAACTGTGATTGAATGGTTCTGACACTCCAGACACCCCCACCCTTTCTCTCGGGGCGTTCTCTAATTGCCTGGTGTTCTTTCCAGAGCTCTCGAGCTCTTGTTCTTCTGCATGGGTTTCTTCCATTAGCCAGTATTACAGGTGCCTAGGTATTGTTTCCTAAAATGTTACAGAAGGTAAAGCCCTCTTCCAGCCGGATTAGTTTTACCCTGGGAGGGACTGTAAGTGATTTTAATCCTCTATGAAACTGCAGTGTCCATAGTTTGTACAAGCCTGGTAAGTAGGGCTGCAGCATATATTGTTTGTTAATTATTATTAAGATACGATACTGGCCTTTGCAGTATCTTCTTTTGAAGAAGGTGTCTATGTGCAACCCCACATATATATTTTTATTGTGTGCTATGATCATCCTAACCAGTGACCAGATGAGTGTTTCTGTGAGTGTTTTAATGACTTGTGGAATTCATATAATTCAGCAAATATAAAAGTTTTTGGTCAAATTGCATAAAATTAGTGGCCTGAGCAATAATGATACCTTTATAAGCAAATTAGCTGTCTAATCACACAATATATTTTTGTTGACATTTTGATGAGTCAAGGTATTGTAATGTAATTCAACAAAAGTAAATGGTTTTGGTCAAATTGAACAACATTGTCACAGTATTAATTCAGTTGAAATAACATGGCAATGTAATTTAAAAACCAGTGTTTTATCCATGCAGCCCTACTGAATTATTAGTAAGTGAATTAGCTTCTCTAATTGGATGAACCCAAAACTCCTTTGGTAATAGTAGTTCTGTTTGAATTGACCTCCAAAACCTGGTATTAGACACGGGTTATTATTGAGCACCTCTCGTGTGATGCTGAAAATCCTGGCTATGACACGCAAGTCCTCACTTTAGGCTATGTGTGGTTATTTGGGGAAATAACACAGATACTTCATCCTGAACAAATCACTCCGTCAAATTACATTGCAAAGTACAGTGCAGAAAGTACTCTGGTAATCAACTCAAATAGTGCAAAAGACAAAGATCTGGCAGGGGTCACTGTTTTTGGGTTCACCTCACAGGCCCAGCGAAATTCACCTACTGTCACCTACTGATGCTTAAGTTCTCCCAGACTAACAGTGTAGAAGTGTAGATGGGGAAACTTTGTGACATTGTTTCTAAATTTGTATTGATCGTTATGACATGGGTCATTGTTGATTACTCCATAAGTAAATGAGGAAATGAGGACTTCATTTACAAAGAATTAGAGCATGGAGAATGGAGCACAGAGCTCCAGATAAACAATCGGTCCCCACCCATTTTTTTTCTCCATCAATGGGTATTCATGCTGAACAAAAAAAAGCATTTTGTCTGAGACATAATGTTGTTTCTCAGACATTTCCTCTCATTTAGCTTCATATTAGTATCCATTACCAGTAACTTTGACATGTGATCCATCATACTGCAATCAGATAGCAGTCACACCCTCTCTTTCCTCTTTTCAACTGGTTTGAGCATTGTATTAGCCAGTAATGGGCTTAGAGGAACACACTGATTGCAACACATTGCAAAACTACCAGGAGGAAATGTTCTGTCCTCAGTTGTTCAGCGGTTTGAAGATACAAATAGGGTTTTATTACAACACAGAAACATGAAAACATGATATCGCTAATTGGTAATGGATAAGAAATATAATGCTGATGTCATGCACATGTTAACCTAGAGGATGCCTTGTGCGTCATTGGCTTGTAACAAGTGGCAGTTGGCACAATAAAATGACCTTGAAGTGAATTTTTATCTTTATTGAATAAATATGGCATGTGAACTTTTTATTGAGTGAATATGGCAATGACATTGGCTTTGAACTTTTCTCAGCATTTACATGCCTAACGTGATCATTTTCATAAATGAGCAGCTACACGTGAAGTATAAGTATGAAAATAAGTACAAAAAAATGAAAAGTAATGAGTGTCACAATAACAAAACAGTACAGTTGATATGAAAAAGCAGTCCACAGATTTTGTTTAATAATCAGGTAGGCTCTGAATGGAAAAATTTGTATTCAGAATGTCTCTCTGCGTTGTTCTGTCTTTGCTTTTCTGTGGATACTTAGTAAGAATACAGCCTTTATTATCTGAGTGTTCAGTGTATGAATGTATCATGACTAGCTGGGTGGAAATGGAGAGCAATAGTGATCTCATTATGGTTATAGATAGTGCTCTGCCCTTCCTCTGTTATTATCTTGCCCACTTCCTTTTGCACTTTTCAACAGACTCTGAGCCATGTGAGCGTTCATGTCGAGACTTAGACATGATTGAATGGTAGTTTACAGACTTTTGTTATTGTTTGCTCCTCAGTCTGCTTAGACGATGGCACAGTATTAAAGATGGGAAGCCTCATAGTCCTGGTTCTCTGCCACGCCCAGCTAGTTTAGAAAATGACTGCATTTTCAATCCATTAGCTAACATTTCATTTGTACTCTAGAATCGATTAGCCTGACTCACTTAAGAGTCATTCAAAAATAATGATTTGTTTGTGAATCACTTATCACTAATGTAGCTTTAGGGCCCTCACATACCAAGCTGACTGGATGCTGTCAGGCTGTAGTCGAGCGTCTGTGGCTGACCATTGCCTGTAGTTTTTTGTAATGTGTCCCTCTCTGTTGGCTTTAGTCTACCACTACAATGTTTTACAATTTTACATCCCTCTGAAAGAATAAAAACTATTAATGTGATTTCTTACCCATAGCATAATATATCTACTTGTAAAAGACAGTAAGTGGAAAGTGTACTAGTGTTTGTTTTTTTTATTGTACCATTTATGGCTCAAGAAAAGAAGACGGGGA